CCTCCTCCTCCTCCTCCTCCTCCTCCGAAGGTGAATGAGACAGGCAGGAGGAGGGAGGACGGAGGATAGGGGGAGGAGAGAGGTCTTCTGGAGGCCCCTCAGATCCTCAACGGCCTCCAAGAGCCTCCGGGAGGCCAAAACAGCGTGCAAGACATTGATAACCGGCCGACAGTCCCCCCCAAATTGCACGAGGGTCGAATGAACACGTCGCAAAGGCTGGGGAGGAGGCGGAGGGGAAGAGCAGGGCACAGAGGGAGGATGATGCGAAGCGAGAATATTTTGCCTTGACACACTGTCGGGATCCCGCAGAGTGTGTGTGTGTGTGTGTGTGTGTGTGTGTGTGTGTGTGTGGGTGTGTGTGTGTGGGGGGGGGTGGGTGGGTGTGTGTGTGTGTGTGCCCTGGGGGACCGTGTGAGTTCGTTCGTTTTTTGCACCGAGCCGCCCAAAACAGATGCCCCCCAGCCGCAGGCAGCGCCCCACAGTTGCCGACCAGCGGGGCATGCGGGGGGCATCTGTTTGCGGCCGTTCGGTGCACCAGCGAATCGAGCTCATGCCCCCCCCCTCGGGGTCCCCCCCACCCCGTGTGATGGATCCCGACGCCGGGCCCGCCGCCGACCGGAACCCACCTGGCCAGGGGGGCCGGGCACGCTAGGAACGGATCACGGTCGGGAAGTCTTGGGCAGCGTGTCGCGCCGCCGGTCCCGGCCCACCGCGCCTTCGGCGCGACACGCCATATCCACTTCGAGGTCCCCAGGCGTCCACGCCTCGAGCCTTCCCCGACCTCCTTGCCCCGCGGAGCGGAGCGACACACTGTCTGCTCGCAGGGCACGGTGCGTCGCCGCTCCTTCTCCTCCTCCTCCATCCCTCCTCCTCCTCCTCCTCCTCCTCCTTCTCCTCCTCTTTCTTCTCCTCGCCGGGGCCGCCGCCGCGATACGATATCCATAAGTTTCCGACCGTAGCAGAGCAACCTCGCGCAAGTCCTGCGGGCGGCAGGCCGCGGGGCTCGGTATGCCGCCTCTGCGACGTGCTGAACAGGGCGGGGCTCGTTATGCCGCCGAGCCCCGCCCTGTCTGCCTGGGGAGGCGGCCAGGGAGGCTGGGGAAGCTCGCGGCATGCGCTCGGTGAGAAGGACGAGGGGGATGACAAGGACAAGGAAAAGGAAGGAGGAGGAGGAGAAGGTGGAGGAGAAGGATGCGGAAAGCTGAGGAGGAGGAGACAGAGGAGCAGGATGACGATGAATTGGATAATAACAAGAAGGGGAAGGAGAAGAGAGAGAGAGAGAGAACGAGGAAGGAGTAGAAGGAAGGAGAAAGAGGAGAGCGAGAGAGAGAGAGAGAACAAAAGAGAGCGTGAGAGAGAGAGAGACGCATGTTAAGAGAGGAGAAGGAGAGAACACGAGGAGAAGGAAAAGGTTATAGGGAGGAGCAGGAGGAGGGAGGAGAAGGAGGAGGAGGAGCAGGAAGAGAAGAGAAGAGAAGAGAAGAGAAGAGAAGAGAAGAGGAGAGGAGAGGAGAGAAGAGAAGAGAAGATAATATACTATACTACAAGAGAAGAGAAGGACGAGAAGGGAGTAGGAGGAGCAAGCAGGAGGAGGAGGAGGAGGGAAAGGCATGAGGATAATATAAAGATCGGGCTGAGGAGGAGGAGGAGGAGGGCGAGGTGGAGGAACGAAGGGAAGGAGGAGCGCCAGGGCGGCGCAGGGCGAGGGAGATGCCTTGCGGGCATCCCGACTTCGGGCGCTGGCGGACCTGAAGGACCGGCTCGCGCGCGGGCGGGCCTCCTGCCCAGACCCCCCTCTCGGGTCGTGGCCAAGAAACGGGAGCGAACTGTTATCCGCCAGTGTCAGTCTCTGGGGGCCCTAACTGGGCCTCGGGATCTCTCGGGACCGTCAAGGAGGAGACTCAGGAGGAGCCACGGGTCCCGGGGAAGGGGTCGAGACTTTTCAAGGGGCCGACGATGTGACAAAAGTCGTGACGGCGGGTGGCGTCAGTGCACGTGTGCAGCCCTGTGAATCCCTGTCGCCCGACCCGCCCGTTACGCTCCGCCCGCCCGACCCGCCCGACGACGACGACGACGACGAAGACGACGACGACGACGACGACGATGACGACGACGACGAAGCCGATGACGACGACGACGACGACGACGACGACGACGACGACGACGACGACGACGACCCTTACGACGACGACGACGACGTGTCTCGGAGCACCGACGACGACGAGGGTGAAATGCTCAAGCATACCGACCGCCATCCCGTGCTGCCCAGCAGGTAGCGGCGTCGGCCGCCGCACACGTGTCGGGCCTCAAGAGGCGGGGGTCAGTGCAAACGGGGGTCAGTCAGAGCGCTGGACCTTGCAGGGTCCTGCAGGGTCAGGGGCGCACTGACCCAGGCTTGGGTGCAGGATCTTGCAGAATCCTGCAGGATTTTTGCGGGATCCTGCGGGGCCTGACTGAATCAGGTCCGGATTGACCTGGGTCAGTAGATCCCCGAACGTGCGCGTCCACAGAGCTGGCGCGAGGATGGAGGACAACCTGTCCATCTCTGGGGCGTTCCAAAAAGGGCCTTGCCTTCGAGGATCGAAGGAGTTGTCATTTCTCCCGCGGCGGAAGGCGGCGGAAGCTCGGCGGAAGCTCGGCGGCAGTAAACCGAGGCTCGGCGGAAGGCGGCGGAAGCAAACGTCGACCTCCCAGGAGCTGAGCACGTTTTGGGGTTCAGGGTTTCTGGAATCGCCAATAAATTTATATATATATAAATATGAGAGAGAGAGAGAGAGAGAGAGAGAGAGAGAGAGCGTGATCCACCGCCGCTTTACTGTGGAAAATTGCCAACCTTTTCCTCCGGAACCCGGGGGTCTCCCCCCCCCCCTCCCCCCGAAAATCCCCCCCCCCCCTGCCGGAACCCCTCCCCCCCCCCCCCCTCCCTCCCGGCAAAACCCCCCCCCCTCCCCTAACCCCTCCCCCCCCCCCCCCCCCCTCCCCCTCGAAAACCGGGGGGGGTCACTACCGGTTCGAACCCCTCCCCCCCCCCCCTCCGGATCCGGAAAACCGGGGGGGGTCACTACCGGTTGGAACCCCCCCCCCCCTCGAAAACCGGAGGGGGGGTCACTACCGGTTCGACCCCCCCCCCCACGCACCGCCAGCAAACGACTCCCGGTCCCTACCACCGCTCGCATCACATCCCCCACTGTTGTTCCCAGCACCACTGTCCTCACCACCACTGTCCCCACTGGTTCCACCACCGTCCCTATTGTCCCCACCAATGCCCCCACCACTGTCGCACTGTCCCCACTGTTCCCACAACTGTTCCCACCACGGTTCCACTCTCCCCACTGTCTCCACGGACCCAACCACTGCCTATCCCCATTGTCCCCACTGTCCCACTGACTCCTCCGCTGTCCCACTGAGCTGTCCCACTGTTTCCACCACTGTCCCCACTGTCCCCACCACTGTCCCCACTGTACCTCTGTCCCATTGTCCCACCGCCGTCCTCGCCACCGCCTTTACCAGTGTCTCCACCACCATTGTACCCTCCACTGTCCCAGTGTTTCCACCTCATTCCCACTGTCCCCACACCACTGTCCCCACCACCACCGTTCCCACCACTGTCCACTGTCCCCCCTGTTCCCACCATTGTCCCCACCACTGTCCCCACCACTACCGTCCCCACCACTGTCCCACTGTCCCCCCACTGTCCCCACCACTGTCCCGCTGTCCCCTCACCACTGTCCCCACCAACACCGTCCCCACCACTGTCCGCACCCCCACTCGGTTTTCGAGGGGGGGGGGGGGGTTCGAACCGGTAGTGACCCCCCCCCCTTTTCATGATGAGCTGGGGGGGGGGGAGGGGTTCGAACCGGTAGTGACCCCCCCCGGTTTTCCGGAGGGGGGGGGGGAGGGGTTCGAACCGGTAGTGACCCCCCCCCGGTTTTCCGCCAGCAGCGGTAGAACACGCTCTTTCATATATATATATATATATATATATATATATGTACGTGATATATAATCATGTATGTGTATGCGTATATATACACAGCTCTAGAGGGGTGGCCTTACGTTCTCTGTGTGTGCGTGTGTTTGGCCTTCCCCCTTTGGGGTGCCTTGGGCCCCGGACCTTCGGCCAGGACAGCTCAGCTTCTTGACCCGCGCGCTGCGGCCATGCTTCGACCGTGCCCCCAGATCCTTCCACCTCTAAGCTGAAGTCGGGCCTGTCCCTCTACAGGAGGAGTAGCCAAGAGTAGTAAAACATCGTCTGGTGGCGGTTGTTCGTGCTCTGTTGTCTACTGTTGCATCTTGTTTGGCTATGTGTCCTTTGCCGTCCAAGACCCGCCTGTAGGAGGACATGCCCGACCTAAGCGTACCCTCAGTCTTCCCATTCCGAGCCCGCTTGGCGCCCAGGCCCACTCGGCCGCCGAGTGGGCAGCCAGTGCGGGGAGATCCCACCACACGGGTCCCAGGGCTGGTGCCAGGTGCATTTGCCCAGATCCCAGTGGAAGAAGCTGGACCACAGCCCTGAGGTCAGAGACGGGCCAGTCGAGAAATGGAGGCCTTCCTTGGCGCTTCTGATCCTTGTTTGGCTTCTTGGATGCTTCTCGTAGCATCAAGTGGGTCCTTGATCTGGCTCGGGAAAAATATTAGGATGAACCCCGCGAGGGGTCTGGGACAGATTTTATGCGGATTTGCGCGCAAGTGCCGCCGTTGTCTCAATTGGCCTTTCTCCGATGAGTCCCGATTTCGGGGTGGGGTCTCCCGACTCCCCGCGTTCGACGTCCGACCTGCGCTGCGGTGGAGTCAGATGTATACGAAGCCCATGTGAGAGCCTGTCGGCGATGATGGATGGCCGCTGACTCGGGCTATCTTGAGCGGTGGCTACAGCCCCATGCGAAACGCAACTGGTGTTTGGTGAGCCCCCCGGCCCCCCATTTCAATGCTGATCGCGCGACCGGCGAAGTTCGAAAAAAAAATCGGCACCGCATTGAACATTGAACTTGGGGGGTTGGAGGGGGAGGTGTGTAGAAAAACAACCGTTGCTTTCGTTTTGCACGGTGGGGTAGGATGTCCTGCTCCAGCGAGCGCCGCCCCCTCCCTCTTCCTCATCTCCCTCCACCCCCCCCGTCCTGCCCGGTCTCCCCACTCCGTCTCCATCTCCCGTCTCCCGCCGTCCCTGCCCTCTTCCCCATGTCGCCTTTCGCCGCCCCGCTTTGCTCCCTGGCTGCCCTGCCCTCGGGTGGTGCGCCGTGGCATGGTGGCACATCAGGCCTCCCAGGGGCACGAAGAATGACGTAAACATAAAAAGCTCGGGGGTCCGCGCGGATTTCTCGGATCCGCGCTGGACCCCCCTGGCGGCGCCGGAGGCGCCGCCACTGGCGCGCTCCGCGCGCCAGGGAGGGGGGGTCCAGCGTGGATCCAAGAAATCCGCGTGGACCTTTGAGCTTTCTGTGTACGTCACTGTTCGTTACCCTACTGGTCCCACCAGCGTGGTTAAAGGCGCCCCGGGGCCACATCGCTTCAAGCTCCCCGCTCGCCGCCTCCTCTCGGAAACTGGAACATATACATTACCAGTGGCGGGCTGTTTTTCAATCCCAAGACTTTTGAGGGTCGGGGGCGAATCCGGGGTCGTGTGGTGTCTTCTGGCTTCCGCATTTTGCAGGGGAAACAGCGACAAACGTATACGCCAGGATCCCGTATACACCAGGATCCGCTTTCCCGTGCGAGTTTCGGTGCGGAGCCGGAAAAAGCCTCGGTGTGTAGAGTGCGGTTCCTTACCATCGCTCTCTTCCCTTTTTCTCTCGCATCGTCTCCGCCCCCCTCTCCCTCCACGGGGCTCGTGCCAGCGGCCGCTCGTCCGTCCTCCCCCCTCTCCTCCTCGCGCCCTCCCAGAGGACTGGCGCGTCGACGTCGCCAGCCTCCTGGGGCTCCTCCTCGTGTTCGTCCTCGTCTTCTGCCTCTTCCGGTGCTTCTGCGCCGACCAAGGCCGCCGCGCCGCGCCTTGGCGGGCAGCCACGGAGCGAGAGGCCGGAGAGAGGGCCCGGCCCGCGCCACTGCTGCCGAAGCCGGAGCACCGGCACGCCCGGAGCACGAGCTGCTGCCCGCGGCGGAGTTGAGAGGGTGGTGACCGCTGTAGTAAAGGGCTCCCCCGAGGGCGCGAAGTTATTCGCGCTTCGCGCTTCGCGGTCCTCGTCTCTCCTCCCCCTCCTCCTCGTCCTCCTTTTCTCCCTTTGGGGGGGCGGCGCGAGAGCGCGAAGTTATTCGCGCTTCGCGCTTCGCGGAGCGCGAAGCGCGAAGTTGGGAGCCCTAGTGTAGTCAGGAAGCGAGGTGGCGTCGCGAGGTTCGCAGTCTTTGTCGTTTCCTGATGGTTCCCTGCAACATGTAATAATTAAGTGCGCGTTGCGTGGTCCTCGCGCTGGTGCGCTCGAAGCCCGAGCTCCAGCGCGGTTCTGATTGCTCGAGAGTCCCGTAATTACCCCTCTCGAGATCTTGGCGGGGAGGGGCATGAGCCAACAAGCATCGACAGCTACTGGAGTTGGACGATGGAAAGTGGACGTTGGCATGAGCCAGCGATGGGAGTTGGTCGTCAGCATAAGCCAACAGGTATCGACAGTTCTTCCGAAGTTCATGTGGCATGTCCAGAGTGTCTCTCCGTATTGGCCTGCTCCCGAGCCGCCACCCGAGCTTTCACAGCCTCTAGCCAGTCAGTGGTGACGGGCGTGCGAGGCGGAGAGGGTGGGAGAGGGGCAGCGGCCGATGCAGCCAAAGACGCAGCAGCCGAAGCAACGCTGAGCCGAAATGGCCACACCCTGCCAAGGGACTCGCGGCGAAGGCCCAATCCCTGCCGGATTCGCTGCAAGGCGCGGTGGCCGTGATGGGCGGAGTGTGAGGCGGGCGAGGAGGCTGGCGAGAGGAGGGAAGAGATGGAGAAGAGAGTCGGAAGGAAGGCAGATGGATGTGGTAGCAATTCCCGCAGTCGCCCCTCCCCTCGCCCCGGACAGGGAGCCGCGAGCTGCTAGGCCAGGACGCGGGCGACTACTCCACCAGCGGGCCATCGTACCTGAACTTGTGGCGCATGACGGCCGCCAGGGGCCCTCAAACCCTGCAGACTTCAGCCCTCCAGGGCGAGGGGGAAGGTAGTATCGCATCACCCACGCGCAGCAATGATCCGTCGTCGGCTCGGGCAGCACTCTGGGTCGCGCTGCGCTCTGCGCCCTTGTTCCTTCAGCGGGTTCGAGCCTCACGCCGACGGATGACTGCATATGCTCATCAGGCTGGCGCCGAGACAGATACAGCGGACGGGGCCAGGACTAGGATGAATCCGCCACTGAGCGATCCTGGACGCTCTCACAGCGTTCCGGAACGCTCTGAGAAGGCCGAGCGCCCGACGGAGTCTTGGGCGTTCCGAGTGGGCGTTTTCCGAGTGGGCGTCTTGGCTGCCTCGATGCGCCCGTTTTGGAACGCAGCGCCGTGTTCAAAACGTCCGTGTCAATACGTTGCGTAATGGCTCAACGTGCTGGTTCACGTTTTGGCTGACGTCTCGCGTCCAGTCTACGTGTCGAACTCCGTGTCGACACGCTGCGTGTTCCGTGTTGCGCATCGGGGCAGCTGGGCCTGGTGCCATCGTGTTGCCTCCCAGGCTGAGGTCCTGTACGCGGGTTTGCCTGCTACAGGTCGGCCTGTGTGGTGGTCCGTGTTTGCCCGGCATCTCTCTGGTTCGCAATCTGGTCACACGGAGGTAGCCGAGGCGTCGAGTGTCGTGCTGCTTCCCGGGTGTGCAGGGCACCCCGAGGGGAGTCCAGGCGTCAGGCAGCCGTGGGTCGGCCTGAGGCATCCGTCGTCGATCACGAGGAGGATCGGGCGCTCAAAAGGAGGTGCTTCTTCGGCGGCGAGCGAAGGGGGAAGTGAGAAGAAGAAGGCCCTCTCAGAAGGCGGCGGGGCTCCTGAGGCCTTCTGAGAAGTTTTCCGCGTCTTCGGGAAAGGCACAGGGACAACTTTTCAGAAGGCCTTTAGACTTCCGAGCTTTTGGAGAAGGCCTTCTCCCTCTCACTGCCCTTCCCCGGGCTCGCCGAAGGCTTCTGTTTTGCGACCAGCTCGACTTCGAGAACTCCGATCACCCGGGGCGCAGGGCCTCCCCTCGCTGCTCCCGCAGCAGATTCGGATTGGACCTCGCCATCCCTGGGGGGCTGCGATCTGCGAAACCGTCACCACTTCCGAGGGCTGCCGGGGGGGCCAGCACCGCGGGCACTCGCCGCAGATTCGGAGTGGACCTCGCCATCCCTGGGGGGGGGGGGGCTGCGTTCTGCGAAAGCGTCGCCCCTTTCGAGGGCTGCCGGGGGGGCCAGCACCGTGAGCACGCGCCGCACCGGAGGAGCCCGCGCCGCGCGCCTCCCCCCTGGGCCTGCGGAGCCGTGTGGGGGGCACTCGCCACAGCTGCCCCGCGGCCCGAGGCGAGTCGTGGTTGGACGGCCCCGAGGCCCGGCAGGGGCCCCCCCCGAGGCCGAAGCCAGCGGAGCTCTTCCGTCGTGCGTGCTGCAGGCCTCTGTCGGGGGAGCGTAAGACCCGGGTTTGCCAAGACTCGGGTTCGCCATCGTTTTTTGACGACCGCGACTCGGATTTTGACGAGTAGGAGTTTCGTGGGATGTCTGCAGCGGGAGGCCTCGTCAAAACGCAGGCTCGGCCTCGTCATTTCTTTGACGAGCTCGTCGGGGATTTCCGAGCCCCCTGTACCCGGGTCTTACGCCCCCCTGACTTTGGGCCAGAAGGCCCCCAGCTTCTCGCTCCGTTCTGGAGCTCCTGGGCCCCCCCTGGGCCTCGTGAGCGGTGCGTCGGTGGAGGGAAACACTTGGTGGACACTCCGGCTCTTCCGCAAGTTGGCACGCGCGTGGAGGACTGCGGTCGAAGTGCAACTCATCAACCCACCGCCTCTAGTGATCATGGGGGCGGACATTGACAGATGAATGTGGCACGAGTGTTCGCTGATTTCCTCGCAGGCCTGTTTGGAGAACCCGGAGGCCTATACCTATAGAAACCCTGAGGACACCTCGGGCCAGGGGCTCTCCCGGCAGCACTCGACCTTCGGATCCGAGTGGGCGCTCATCGGAAGGGAGCTCCTCGTGTAAGCAGCTTGGACTCGAAGCATTCCGAGGGCCCATGGCGCACTTCCCCTACCCCCCCCCCCGCCCCCCTCCTCCTCCTCCTCCTCCTCCTCCTCCTCCTCCTCCTCCTCCTCCTCCTCCTCCTCCTCCTCCTCCTCCTCCTCCTCCTCCTCCTCCTCCCCGGGCCGACGGAACGCATCGGGGCCCAAGCGGGCGCTCCAGATCGACGCCTCTGTCGGGCAACCAGCCCGGGTCCCCGCCTGCCGGGCGCCCTGGGGCGGAGCCCTCCCTCCCCCCCACGGGGACCTACGGAGCGCTTGGGAGCAGATCTGCTGCCGCCCAGAAAAAAGGGCACCGCGCTGCTGCCCAGGGCGGGGGCCCCACGCTCCCGAGTGGGGCCCTTCCTCGCCCCGTCCCCCCTTGTTTGGGGCCCGTGGAGTGCTAGCGCGCAAGGGGGCGCTCCAGGAAAAGGAACGGTTGGGAGCGGCGGGCACCTTGGACCCGAGTGCAGCGGGGACCCCTGCCAAGAAACACCCTGCTCGCCTCCAGGGTGCCCCGGGTTTCTGGGGCTTCGACGGTTTTCCGATGGACAGCGTGACGTTCCCACACCAAAAATCAATGGACGTCCTGGGGTCTCAGGGTAGGGTTTCTTGTGGAAGGTTTCTTTTGGTCGAGCCCCTACTGTAACCCGAGTGCCAGGGCGGAGCCCTTTAGCGCCCCCCCTTCATGTTTCGTTGTGGACAGCTCGACTGCAGACAGGCGGCTCGTATGCTGCAAAACCGTGCGCACTACTCTAACGCGGTCTGGCTAGCAGGACGGGCGCCCCCTCTCTCTCCCTCTCTTTCTTCGTTCTGGCCCCCCCTGGCTCGAAGGTGAAGCGTCGACCTGCTGGGTACACCGGAGACGAGGATTGATGTGCGCCTCGAGTTTCCGGGGTGACTGCACGTTCGGCCCGCGCTGTTTTAAGGGGGCGGAGGAGGACGACAAGGGAGAAGTGGAGATGTAAGCTGCCCGCCTCGCGGATTGCGGCGCTCCTGGGCTGGGCCTTAGTGCGGCCTGCACAATCCGCAGCGCTTCGGCACATGCCTCTCCAGTGTCATGCCTCGCCACGTCATGGTGGCGCCTCGGCATCATGTAAATGCTCTGAATCGCAGAGTGGCTCTGCTGATGCCCTCGGTGTTCACGTAGACTTTGCACATCGGATCCGCAGTGGACGGGAGATTGTCTCTCTCCCTTGCGGTCGATGCAGCGAGCCGCTGCTCACGCGTTGCCGCACTCGATGAGCACGGATGTAAAGTCTTCCCGCTCAGCGAGTGACGAGGCGACGGGTGCCGCGCAAAATGGGCTCCCCTCCAGCGCCAGGACCCTCGCGCCGCGCCATGCTGTGGCCGTGGCCGTCCTCTTGGGGAGCACGAGCGGTGCAATTCAGAAACGCTCTGAGACAGAGAGTTGCGGTGAATTATTCGTGGTGTTCCAGAGGTACTCGGCAAGCCCCGCCACCGTGCCAGCTCAGCGTTGAAACTCATGCAGGATGGAGTTCTCTCGAGAGGCTCAGTAGAAGCATCTTGGGGCCACTTGGGAAGCATCGCTACGATGATGCAGCGTGGCGCATGCGTAAGATTGAATGGTTGCTGCGTTGCCTGTTGGGCTCTTGGGGCCCTCTCGGAGGCCTCTCGCGGAGACTTTCCGAGGGGGGCCCGTTTTAACAACCTTGGGGGAGACTTGGTGGGTTCTTGGACCGTCTTGGAGCCCCTGTAGTGCAATATTGGGGCGTCTTGGGGGGGTGCTCTCGGGTTGCCTGGGGTCCCTCTTGGCTTGGGTTGTCTTCGGGGCTGCTAGGGGCTCTCTGAGGCCTTCTCCATGCCATCCTAGGCGGAAAGTCACCGAGACGTCTCACGGGCCTCGCTGGAGGCCTCCCTGGGCGTCTGTTGGAGGCTTCGTGAGACCGCACAGGAGTATCTGGTTATCTGGTGCCCTTCGCGGGTTTTCGTGCCTCTGCGGGCTGGCATTGGGGCTGTGTGGTGGGCCTGGAGCTCGTCTTGGAGCTCCCTCGGGGCAGTTTTGGCCTGTCCTACGGGGTGACGGGGGGGAGGCGTTTTTTTCAAAGCCGTCGCGCGGAGGGGTGGCGCTCTTCGAAACCTAACAGAGGACATGCCAGACAACCAACAAGCATTCGAACGCGGCCAAACGTGTCGAGGGCCCCGTTGTGGCTCGGGTCGTCGAGTCCCCAGGTACGAGGGGGGGGCGCCAGCCATCCCCACGAGATCGGGAAGTGAGTGACCAGTGGATGTTGTCTGATGATATACTGTTTGGGATGCTGGGGTCGGCGTGCTGGGAGGGGGCGCGCCGACTTTGCCCCGCAGCTGCAGTGAACTGTTTCGCCCCTTGGCTATACCGGGCCATCTTTGGAGCTTAGGTCCACCCATCTTGGCGGCGGCAGTCTCGGGAGCAGACATGCGACATCCACCTTTTCGCCGGCGTGATTCGTCGAACGGCCGCTGTGTCGATGCCCCTGGATTTAGTCGGTTCTGGGAGGCAGGCCCAGAAGACAATGTCAGAGGCCGAATGCGGCTTGGTAGTGTAGTAGCGATGCGCGTGAGTAGTCGTGCATGTATGTTTGCGCATGTGTGTTATTGGGGCTGGGGGCCTGCGGGTTAAGCCCAATGTGCTTTCTTATTTGACGGCGTATTTCCATCAGGGCAAGTGGCTACTACATGTTTATAAACGTAGACTCATAAATCACTTAATGTGGAACTTGCTCGTGAGTGTATGCGCACTCACATATGCATGCATGCGCATACATCGTTTCATGTGATATTCACGTAGGTTTGTTGAGCAATACATGCGTACGTCATTGTTTGCGCAGCCTGGCGGTCCTAACGTGGTTTTGAGGGCCGTGGCGGGTCATTAATGTTTTTCGTGTTGTTTTCCCGGCCATGACGGTCATTGACAGCACAGTCAAGATATTGGACACAAATCTGTGAACCCTCCGAGATCTGATTTGGTGAAAAGACTTCACGACTTCACGGAAACATGCAACAAGTGGAGCCGTTGACACCATCACTTCGCGGCACCGGCATTTCTCGAGTCGGATCGATATGAGAAGGTGCCGCGACACGAAATGGGAGGAATTCCCCGACGTGCTTTGTTCACGGTCGGGTTGCTAACAGGTGCGGGTCTTCCATGTCCAGTTGGTTGTGACCGACATCTTTACCCGTATCTCTTGCGTTCATCGCCCCCGAAAGTCTTTCGACGCGGCGCCGTCGTTGAAGAGTTCCCTGGAGCCGAGTCGCGGCCAAGAGCCCCAGGAATGATCTCGAAATTCTCCATCGCATTCCTGCTGTTGCCCCTCCTCCTCCTCCTCCTCCTCCTCCTGAAAACCGGGCCTGGTAAGCAGGCGAAGAGCGGATTGACATAATCTTTTTCCGCCGATGGGGGCGCCTGTCCTCCGAGGGGGGGGGAAAATTGACAGATGAATTCGTTGGCATACGACGCGGCTATACACGTTGGATATACACGTGTGGATAGCGTTGGGATATCACGCGTGGATATACGCGTGTGGACGCAGGACTGGGAGAGCGTTGGATATACACGTGTGGCCAGGTGCCTCTCCGGCGCTCGGCCGCTCTGTGGCCATGCCGACGGGGCTTCCACGGGCGTCTCCAGCTGTGTCCCGCGCGTGGCCTCCGGAGGTCCCGCGTGCGGACCCAGCCGTGGGCCTCTGCAGCTTCCCGAGCGACGAGGAGGAGCATCGGGGACATTGTCAGGGGGAGGGATGGGCTCCAGGGGGGGACGCATCGGCTCCCAGTCGACGTCGCCGATGGGGGCCCGATGCCCCCCCGGGAGCGTGCGGATCCGCTAGCGGGCGTCTATCGGCGATGCATCGCAGATCCCAGGTCGATGTTTCCCCTCCTGAGTTGTTCCCGCCTATCGTGGCCCCTCAGGAGGAGGAGGAGGAGGAGGAGGAGGAGGAGGAGGAGGAGGAGCAGCAGGAGGAGCAGGAGGAGCAGGAGGATGAGGAGGAGGACCTTCGCGCACTGACGTGCACCCACTGGCTCGATAACTTCGTGATGATCTCGAGCGCTGCGTTCCGATGTTTATGAAGACGCGACGGCTCACGCCAGCCAACGCTTGTCCAGAGCCAACCAAAAGAGGAGGAGGAAAAGGTGGAGGACGAGGAGGGAGGAGAAGGCAGAGGAGGAGGAGTAGGAGGATGAGGAGTAGGATGAGGAGCAGGAGGAGGAGGAGGAGGAGGAGGAGGAGGAGGAGGAGGACGAGGAGGAGGAGGAGGATTGAAAACAATGACTCCAGGTCGATATTTCTTCCCCTGTGCTGGTCCCCTCCTATGGTTGCCCCTCAGAGGAGGAGGAGGTGGAGGTGGAGGAGGAGGGGACGAAGGAAGACGAACATGTGTTTGATGATGATGATGAGGAGGAGGAGGAGGAGGAGGAAGAGGAGGAGGAGGAGGAGGAGGAGGAGGACGACGACGAGTACGAGCACGAGCACCAGCACAAGCACGAGCACGAGGAGGAGCGCGGAGGCGGAGCGCAGGAGGAGGACCAGGACAAGGACGACGACGACGAGGACGAGGACCAGGAGGAGGACAAGGACTTGGAGGAGGAGTACCTTCGCCCAGCCCCCCGGGGGAGACGCAGGGCGGCAGCCCCTCGCCGGCCCAGCCGCACGGCGCCCCCGCCCGCGGCGGCGCGGAGGCCGCCGGCGTGGCGGCCGTCGAGGAGCGCCGGGGTTCCACTGCTCACTGCTGACGCGGGACCACGCCAGCCCGGGCCAGTCAGGCCTCGCAGGATTCTGCAGGACCCTGCAGGATTCTGCAGGATCCTGTGCGGAAGCCCGGGGCAAGGCACCCCCTGGCTCTGCAGGATCCTGCAGGATCCGGCGCCCTGGCCGATCCCTGAGCCCCGAGAAGCGGCGGGGGGAGTCGGCTGGGGGTCTGAGGTGGCCCAGCACTGGGCCCCGCGAGCCGCAAGGGGGGGCGCAGGCTCGAGGTGCTGGGTTCTGCCCGTTCCTGTGCCCTTGTTCGGCCTCCGGGGGCAATGTTCGGGCTCTGGGGCCGTCCAGAGCGGATCTGGTCCACAGACCCCCTCGAGTCAGGAAGAAATCACAACAGTATGTTTTTTGCCATGTTCGGCCTCTGGTGGACCGAGCCTGGCCTCGGGACCGTCCAAAACCGCGGCAGGATGAGACGCTGGTCCTGGGGACTGGGTCGAGACCTCTGGGAGTCGACGCTACGAACAGATCATGACGTCGGAGATCTGGTGTGTGTGTGTGTGAGAGAGAGAGAAACTGCACCAGGTGGACCCCATGAGGGGTCAGGGGGGGACCGGTGTTGTGTGGATGTGGCTTCGTCCTTCCCCGCTGGATTTCGATTTCCTGCTGGGGCCCCAGCCAGTTCAGATCCCTCGGCCACCGCCAAGGCGGGCGGGCCAGGGCTCGGAGAAGGCCAAGGCACACACGGCCAGGAACTTGTTCGGCGAGTCTACGTCGCTCTTGGGTCTGCTTGTCGCGACCACCACCGCGGACCAGGGGCGGCTGACCTAATTATTGCAGTGGTCGGTCTGCTGGGCGCGGTCGGCGCCTCACACAGCAAAGCACCACCAGATGTCAGCAGTCCCTGGTCTGCAGGGGGTGGTCGTGAAAAGAAGGCCCACCAGGAAAAGCTGCACACGCTCGGGACCTTGCTCGGCGAGGCTCATTGTATGCACACTTCCCAGATGGGATCGCAGGAGATGGGGTCGGAGGATCGCGCCGCATCGGCGATGCATCGGCAATGCGGCTCGATGTGGAGCCCGACTTTCTCCACGCCGACGTTGCCGATTCATCGCCGACGTCGCCGGTGCATCGCCGATGTATCGGCGACGCGGCGCGATACTCAGACCCCATCTAGGAGGCCTCT